TCCAGGCCGACTGTTTGGTAGAAAGAAAAACAGCATGACGACTATCTGGGTAGATTCAAGGAAACGGGTTGCAGGCACTGACAGCGACTTTGAGTTCGACGTAGGCGAATCGGTGCATCTGCAGGGTTCGGCCAGGCTGGGCGTGTTCAAGATCAGGGCGGCGGACACCTTCCTCAGCACGGACCGCGGAACTTACTTGTATTGGCGGGACGCCGCCTTGGGCACTCTGAACTGGGCGCAACTGCCCACGGGAGCGTACACGGGGGTGAGACTTGCCGCCTGGGTAAGCTCCAACTTTGCCGCCGCGACCTACGTGGAGTCGCGCAACGAGCTGGAAGTTGCTTACGACGGCAACAGGTTGATCTTGAACGACCAGGAGCTGCGCGCCCAGTTTCCGGGGAGCGGCTCGTACCCTTCAGGCGCAACGCCTGCCAGGCCCTTGAGCATCAATCACCTGCTCGGACCCAGCAGCATCAACGACGCAGGCAACCAGCAGGTGTTCACTTTCGTGCAGATGCAGCCTTACTCCGAAATCTACCTCCGTTGCAGCAGCCTGGCGAACGCCGCCGAGACCGTCGGGCCTCTGGGGCACGACATCATCGCCAAGATTGTCTGCAAGCAGGGCGTCGGCCACATCATGGAGGCGGACAACCACGAGAACCACATGATGAACCTCAGGGGCCCCATCACGCTTCGATACCTCCGCTTCAAGCTCACAGACTACGAGGGCAACGTCGTCAACCTTCGCGGCACCAGTCTGAGCTTCTGCGTCTACCTTGACGGTTGACTCGTCGGCTGATTAAATTTAAAGACATGCTAGAAGAAAAGGACAAAAGAAAATGTCCGAGCCAGAGCAGCCCGAGGCGTCGGTGGAAATGGCTCCAGAGCCTGCTCCGCTGCCTGAACCTAAGGCCGCCCCCGCCCCAGCAGAAACGACGCCTGTCGAGGAGGCACCTGCTGAGGAGCCAAGAAAGAAGCGAGGCCGACCGCCAGGTAGCAAAAACAAGGCAAAAGCCAAAGCCGAAGCCAAGCCCGAAGGAAAGCCCGAAGCACCACCCGCTGTCCCTGTCTCAGCTCCTGTTCCCGCCCCTGTAGAACCGGAAGAGCCAGAGCCCGAGCCCGAGCCCGAGCCCACCCCAGCCATGCTGAGGGCCATGAGGCAGGTGGCCAGAACCGATCGCTTCGAGGAGCTGCTCACGCGAAACACGATGGAGTTCTAATTGAAAGCAAAAGACCATGATGAACGCTGAACCGAGGAACGAGCAGCTGATGCTGCGCCAGTTCTGGAAGAAGTACCCTACGTACAACCTCAACGCGCTGATGCGCAAAAGGTACGAGGAACTGATGGATGCCAAGGCATTCAACGAATGGCTCCAGAATCGCCAACTGAAGCAGCAAGGCGAAGAGTACCTCGATGCCATGGGCAGGATGGCAGAAGCCGTGAATCGAAGAGTTCCCCAGTTACGTTGGGCGGGCGCAGAACGCGCTCAAGTCCTCAGGGCAGGTCAGCAGCTCGCGGACAACACCGCGCCACGACAAGACGTGTTGCCTTTGCGACGACGCTTGTAAACAAACGAAACATGGAAGAACAGCGCGCGTTCGGATTCCGCAAGCGGCCTCAGTTCTCCGAGGTCCTGGAATACATCAACGAAGGCGAACCCCTGAACTTTGATCTCCCCAGGCGCAACGCCACCATCTACAAGTCGAGCCACTTCTACCTGGACGACTTCCCGCAGTCGACAGAGCCCTTGGCCGAGAACCCGAGGCCACACACTCAGCTGGGAGCGGCGCTTGAGGACGATTTTGAGTCCGCCGATGATGGCTACCAAGGCAGGCCTTTCCCACAGATGAGGTGCCCCAATTTCCTGCGACCAGGCCCCGACACCGACACTGAGGACGAAGCTTACCGCAGGGACGGCTTCAATCCACCAAGGCCTCCCGACCCCGGTCAACCGAGCAGCAGCTTCAGCGGTCGCGTCGGCGAGGCGGCCGCGGCAGTGGTCACCGGCATCATTGCAGCAGGCGCCAACGGCGTGGGCCAAGCCGCGCAGAACTTTGGCTTCAGGAATGCCACAAGGGCGGCGAACGCAGTGGAGCAGCGCCTGATCCCTCAGATCATCGGCAGGCCAACAGACGCGCAACGCGTCATCGAGCAGGCGGGGCAAAGAGCGCAAGAAATCCAAAGGGCGGCGGCCCAAGACATCGAGCAGTTTGCGGCGGAGCAGGCAGCGGCAGAAACGGCAGAAATCACGCCCTTGCTGGCCGAAACCGCTGCTGCGGCAGGCGAAGCAGCTGCTGCTGGAGCAGGGGCATTGGAAGTCTTGGGCGGCGCCGTTGGCGCGGCACTTGCGCCGGAAGTCGCGATTCCTGCGGCCATTGGTGTGGCTGCGGGAGCTGGAGGAGCCTTGGCCGGCGGCGCGGGCAGATCGGAGGCTGGCACGCAGACGGCACCTCCAAGCGGCAGCAGGATGGTGGCACTTGCTGGGGGAGCACTGGAAGGTGCAAGAGCCGGCGCTTCAGCCTTCCCGATGGCCCGCAATTTTGGCAGAGCTGGCGGGGCTGCTGCGGGTGGGCTTGGGGCAGCAACATTAGGTCTGGGCCTTGGCGCCGTGGGCGGCACGTACGAAGGCGCGAGGTACATGTTGGGAGGCAACGGAGGCGACGCCGTTGCTGCTAACGAATCGTCAGGGGATCAGGCGCCCGACATCAGAACGCTCAACAACATGCAACAAGGGGCCCCGCAGCAGCAGATCAGCCTGCGAGCTCCCAGAGTGCAGCAGCCCATGGTTTTGCGCATGGACGCAGACTCAGACGATGCGCCCATGACGCAACAGCAGAGCCAACCCAGGGCGCAAGTGAACTCGAGGCCCATCCAAAGGCCCTTCGGTTTGGGGAACGGGTCCTTGCCTCCAACGCCTCAGCTCAGCGGGAGCGATTCAAGCAGCAGGCAGAGGCCGCAAAGGCGATCGAGAATGGAGCCCTCCTTCAACGAGCTTCGTCGGGAAGCTTTGGCCCGAGAACCAGAGGCCGCCTGATCGCTTGATCTCGTAGGACGAACGACAGAACGCACGACGCGTTACTAAGAAAGCACAATCGAATCACTATAACATGGAGGTAGTGACGAAGGCCGTCAACGATGAACTCATGCAGAGCCTGGACTACAAGATGCGCACCTCGAATGCATCCTATGTGATATCGCGCAAGGATGTGCAGTATTTCCCAAGCTCCCTCAGCACTATCACGCCCACGACTTCTCGAGTTGTCCGCGTGCCCTTGACGTCGGGCTCCGATTTTATCGACCCTGAGAGCATCAAGGTAGCCTTTCGCTTCGTCAACAACGATGACACTAACGACTACCACCCGATCATGGGGCATCCCGCCTGCCTGATCAAGAGAATCCAGCTTTTCGCCAACGGCCAGCGGACAGACGACATCGACAACTACGCCAGAACCGTGCACCTGTACACGCTGCTGAAGCCGCGCGAATGGTGGATCAATCAGTCCAACGAGGGCTTCGAAATCAACGACGTCGGCGGCTTTCCCCACGCACTGCCTGAATCGCATTTCCAGGAAGTGCTCATGGCACCGACCCTCGTGGGGCTGCTGGGGTGCGGCAAGATGCTCCCTCCTCAGCTGAACCTGGTGTTGGAGATTGAATTCGCAGATCCTGCTGACACGGTGCGCGGAGGCCAGAACAGCTCCGTTGACTGCAGCATCCAAAACGTTCGCGTTCTTGCCTCGCAGGTCACCCTCGACAGCGCTCTGGTCGAAAGCTTCAACAGAGTGCTCCTGAGCGGACGCAGCCTCGTGTTCTCGTATCCCACGGTTCACACGCAGGTGACTAGCGTGCCTGCGGGATCGACAGAGTTCAACGTCACGGTTGCTCGCGCCTATTCGAAGCTGCTGGGCGCCTTCGTGACCTTCAGGGCAAACGCCGCGCAAGAGGGCGTCACGGACCTGGAGCACCCCGGCAACCAAGCAGACGGCACCTCATTTTTGGAGTCGCAGATGCAGATCGGATCGCTCCAATATCCCCATTACCCTGCAAAGGACTTCGCAGAGCACCACCACTTCCTTCAAATCATGGCCGGCACCTACGACTCCACATTCCGAAACATGCGCCTGACCAAGAACACAGCTCCTTCATCGCAGCCTACCCAGTGGAACGC